TGAAGTGTATCAAGATGTTGCCAAGTCCGCAATGGAAAATCATAGATGGACCGCGTTAAACAGAAAGAGCCAAGTCACATCAGCTGTTGCCAAATTTAATTGGGAAAGTTAATTTTTTACACGAAAACGGTTGTTCGGATTTTTGTGCATAGTTCAGTGAAGATAGTGGGAAGCAAACTCTTTAAAATGTTCAAAGAAATTCGCACAAACGTTCTCTTGTAAAAAAGTAAATTGCTCAGTTAATTGTGGCAATAGCTGATGTTGCTTGGTTCTTTTCTGCTAAACGCGGTTCAAATAGCCTTAGATAACGCGACCGTCACGCGAAAATAAATCTCAGTGCGAAAAAAACTTAAAATTGAGGCTCTAATATGAGAGCTTGCATAAGAGGGGGCTCTACGAGCATGGGCCAAAAATTCTCGAAGGCAAAACAAAGTGAAGTCATGGCGGATGAGATTCTTTAGTTGAAAGGACGCAGTTCCTAGAAAAATTAAAATTGCCTTGTTTGAGGTTGCTGGATCGTAATTTTATTTCTCGCCGGAATTGCAGGATTTCTTCGACTACATTTGGCACGGTGGGTTGCGTCCAAAAGAAGATTAGAAGAAGGCCCGCAAAATAGGTTCAGAAAATTTTAAGACGGCGGAAAGCTTTTTTGAACATGGCGAGAGCAGCTCGAGCTTGAAATTAACGTGGAAATACCGCAATGGAGATAAGTGCTGTCGTACTTTAACCATCAATATGGATAAAGCACAAGAAAACATAGCCAAAATATACGAACAAATAGGGAGGGATTTAAAACAGGGCTAAAACATGTAAAAACAATAAAAGGCAGGACGTTTCGAGCTGTTACCAGGTCATTTTCAGGTGCAAAAAACACGAAAAATAAATAAAACATTGAGTGGGGACCTGATCTTGGCCGATACGTATGTGAGAGGAAAAAGCACGAAGATTTAATATGGACTGCGTTAAGCAGAAAGGAACTAAGCCACATCAGCTATTGCCAAATTTAATCGCAGAATTTATTTCATATGAAAACGGTTGGGCGGATTTTTGTGCAAATTTCAGTGAATTTTCTCCATAGTGCAAAGCGAATTCCATAAAATTTTCAAAGGAATCCGCACAAACGTTCCTTCGTAGAAAATTGAATTGCCCAGTGGAATTTGGCAATAACTGATGTGGCTTGGTTCCTTTCTGCTTAACGCGGTCCATATTTGCTCGAGTCTGGCACCGGCGAATCTTATTGTTAGTTCATTTCAAAGCTACTGTCGGAGAGACTTGGCTATTGATTTATTTCTAAAATATCTCTACCACACTTATTTCGCTCCACCCATGCGCTCACCGCAGTGCTCCCCTAGTTCCATAAAGTAAACCCATACGTAACCGATCATAAACGCACCAGTGAGCGCGCGTGCATGAGCTTAAAACATTGATTGCCCGCCGCGCACGATTTTGAAACCCAATCCCCCAACTTTCCGCAATGTTAAGGCAACCGAGAAGAAGCATGCCCCCATTCTTTACCTGCTAAACAACACTATGAGTAAAGCTACCGCAAAGAAGCGAGAGAGTGAGGCTGTAAGTGATATGATATTTGCCAATCGCCTTTTGATAAGATTCAAGTCGTGTATTTAAGCGGCACCTCGGATGACCGGCTCTTTTGACCCCAAAAACGGACTAATAGACGGGGAGAAACTAAACACCTCAGCAACTGTTATCTCGTTAAAATATTCAGGTAAAACACAGAGCAAAACGGTCACATCTCCACTGATAGTTTTGAAAAAAGACACATAATGTTACGCCCCGTTCGCAAAATTGCGAGTTCATGGACTGAGCAAAATTTTTGCCCCGTCCGTGGGCCGGCCATCCCCATTGCCAAGTCCGTGGACTGCGGCCCGATTATTGGGATTGATAGACAAAGCTATAGACAAAGGAGACATAGGGAGTATGGAGGGATCCCATTGGTTGAAATGGGTGGTTCCTATAGTCTAATTGGGTAAATTATGGACTAACTAAAGGGTCTCTCGTAGGTTGCCGTTAGTTAGTCTATTTCTTTCCTCCTTTGTCCATTGCAACTACCCACTCCCTCTAATTGGATCCCTCCAAATCTCTTTCGTCTTCTTTGTCCATATCTTCGTCTGTCAATTTCCATTATCGGCCGGAACCATCCGTTAGACCAGCCAGCTCGCGAACAGGCCGGTCTAAAGCCTGAAAACTACGCCAGCGGGCCGAACTATAATTTTAACTGCAGTCCATACACTAACCGACGAATGTCCCCCATTGACCGATTTCTGACGAATATTTCTCGACGTTCTTAACGAAACTTAAAATTATTTAAATAAAAATGGTGCAACTTTATAAAAAAAAATTATAGGTGACGTGAATCAAGGCTAAACAATTAATTTTTTTCCAATAAATATCAAGAGTTTTTAATTAAATTTACGAGTTTTTCTTACAAATCCGGTGTCTGAGTGAACGAAACCGTTGCAAGTCTAAGTAAGTGCAGGATTGCAGCTCAAACTAAACGCCAAATAGTTTATAATTAATTGTTTCCATTTATATCAGGAGTTTTTGACAAAAATTTACGAGTTAATTTCTCTTACGGATCCGGTATTCAAATAAGTAAAACTGATTTATAGATTTCCGTTCTATCGAGAGAGATTGATAGAGATGAATGAAACAGAAAAAGGATAATAATCGGTAGAAACATCCATCAAATCTGATACAGAAATTATTTCAAAAGTTAGACATCAGAAAATCTACTAAAGCCTGAAATTCGGGGACCAGTCGTAGAGCGGCACTTTTTTTGTACATTGAAAGGCTTATACGATTTTTTCGAGGTTCCTCAATTGCTGCAACTGACGAGTTCTGTGCATCTCTGAAGCAGTGAGAAAAGCGAAAGTGCCTTCAATTTCGAACATGCAACATGCACATCCGCGGAACACGAATAGTTGTATCAAGGCGCCACAATCAACTCAGTTCAGTCTCCGCAAAGAGGGAGCGCCTTCAATTTAGAACACGCAACACGCACATCCGCGGAACACGAATAGTCGTATGAAGGCGCCACAGTCAGCTCGGTCTAATCTTCGCACAGCGGAAACGCCTCCAATTGTTTGATATGCAGAGTATATTCAAGATACTGAAAATATGAGAAAAATTTAAAAGTCTCGGAAATTTGTATTAAAAACTTTTAAGAAAAATAAAAAAATTAGTTGAAAATTTATTTACGCAACTTGAAAATGGTTTTGATACTTTTAAGTTTCGTTAAAAATCTCGAAAAATGCTGGTCAGAAGTCCGTCAGTAAAGGAGATTCGTCGATTCGCGTATGGACTGCAATTAAAATTAACGACCGGGTTGGCGTAATCTTCCGACTTTTGACAGACCAGTCCGCAGTTCGCCGCAGCAGCCTTATTATTCAAAAACCACCTCCTTCCGGTATGTGAGAAAACATGGTTATACATGCTCGGTGCAGTGGATCTCTAAAAATGACTCGGACAAGAAATACTCTCAAGAAGTCAGAGAGCTGATAACAGGTAATGATATCTGGACTTGCACTGAGTAATCACAGACTCCCCGGGAAAACCCGCCGTATGATGGGAATACCCGGAATGGTAAACCGAGTGCTCACTGCACCTAATGTTAACGACGCGTGTGCACATGCACAATCGCACATGTCCCATATTGAGTCACTACAATGCCAAGTTTTCCCCTCTATGTTATTAATACATATTTGTTAGAGTATACAATTTTAAACTACTCTTGTTTTAATGAATACTTATGACAGTATTACAAATTGCGAGTATGTGCATGTATTCTCGTGTGAATTCAAACCCGTGTTAAGGTACACGCTATCGAAAATGAACGCAGAAAATCTAACGTCAGGGTGTATCAATAAATTTTGATGCATAGTAGAGGACATTGCATTTTTGTCTTTCCCCGACCCTCGGACCCAAAAGTCCTTTTTTATACCACCTTCAGACCATTCCATCCCATTCCCTTCTCTCCTACTTCCTCCGTTTTCCCTTTTTCCCCTTCAACCTCGTTTTTCTCCTCTCAAATTTGTTCCTTTTTTTCACTTCATTTATATTTCTATATTAATTTTTTTAGAGTTGTAAATGGCCTCCGATAGTAAAGCACCTCTTAAAAAGAAACTCATTCTACTATACTACTATTCCCCATGTTTCCCGTTTTTCTTCTTTGTACTTGGTTTTTCTCCCTTATTCGCTTCCCACTCTTTTTCTGCTCTGTATCTTCCTTCCTTCCTTTTCTCCCTCCTCGTTTTCCTCTTTGAACCTCTTTCTCCCTTTTCTTCAGTCCTCTCCATTGTTCTGGTTTTCCTCCATTTTTGATATATGAGAATGAAGCCATAAAATCAAGAGGAGAAGAAGAAGGCCAGCCAGACTCTGAGGCTGGCCGGCGGATAATGGATTATGTTTTATCTTAAGTTACTAGATTAGCTTTTATACTCAGTTGTTTTCCTTTGCGCATCTTTTAAATCAATAAAATACTTTTGACAAAAAAAAAGGATTGTGGGTTGGTCAGGTTTGTTTTTTTTGGTGTTTTTTGTTGTTGTTCTCGTTTTTTGTTAATTTTTTTTGCTGCCTTCCCGGCTTTTGCTCCGTAAGGTACCTACAGGGACGACCCGTACGTACCCGTACCCTTTACGGGACCTCCTCCTCCGGGGACGTCCCGTAAAGGGTTGGCGGCAGGGCGTTGACGAAGAGATGTTGCGGTGTCAGTTTGCGGTGAGTTTTAAAATTTCTGTTACTACCATTGGAATATATATATATATATATATATATATATATATATATGCAATAGGAACATCCATGCTCCGGGCTTTTCAAATTTTCAGGGATGAAGGCCGAGTGGAATCTGTTCTTGGAGATCCACTCGTCAGTTCCGTGAGAGTTGGTCGCCACCACCGGGATTCGAAGTCGGAACCTATTGACTTAGAGGCAGGCGCGCTGACCACTAGGCCAACTTGGAAGGCCGTGGTTTTTCTTACCTCTATGGGCGGGGATTTGTTGAAGGCGAGACCGGGTCTGTGCCGGGGGATGAAGCCGAAGGAGGCCGGGTTCCCGGGGCGGAAGCGAGGCAGGGCGAAGAAGATGCGGTCCCAGCCGACCTCCACGCCGGTCACCATCGTGTTCTCCGGCGTGTACTTGTCGTTGCGCGGGTAGTTGTACGGCACGTTGAACGTCATCAGGTTCCATTGGTTGATCAGGTCCAGCTGCCCGGAACCGCACGTCACCAGACACACCACCCCGAAAACGGCTTGTAACCACATTTTCACGCCCTGAAAATAAAAAAAAAACACCTTATTAAACCTCTCTCTCTCTCTTTAAGCAAGCTTTAAGGCATGACATATTACCTGTACGTAAATGGAATGAATGGGTCAGTGATGCTGGTCTCTGTTTGAACTGATCTCATTCTTTCAAGCTAACCCACAAGAATCAAGCATCAAAACACGATTCTACGACCAGCGCAACTGACCTATTAATTAAAGGGAAATCAAGTCACATTTAAAAAAAAAAAAAAAAAAAAAAAAAAAAAAAAAAAAAAAAAAAAAAAAAAAAAAAAAAAATATGATGATTATAGACGGACGACTTTAACTAATCAGCCCAGCTATATCCGACATTGCCTGGTTTCCGCCCTCATGTTGTCTCCTTTAAATAGAAAACTGGGCTTCATTCTGATGTGAAGTTTTGTGAGTGTTCTCCTCATGGCATGGGACAATTTTCTGGAACTAAACGAAATTTTCATTTTTTCAGAGGCAGCAGTTTTCGAAACAAGATAGTCGGAGGATTTAAACCAGCGTTACAGATACGTGACGGGATGGAGGGAGGGTCAAAAACGAACGTCATTGGAGCGTTCCGGCAGCAACGGAGATAAGTTGGTTCCCATCGATGCGTCAATTGCATCACTCTTCCGTTTGCGTGGCGTCCAAACCTGAGCTCGAGCCCACCGTCGCTCGCGAGATGTGCGTGGNGGGGGGGGGGGGGGAGGGCCCTTCGTCGAGAGGAAGAAGAAATGACCATCGCCATCGCCGCGGGTTAATTACACTTCGAATTGATTTTGGGTCATTACAACATCGGTTAAGAAATCTCGTCTGAGCGAAAACGGCCTCTCCGTGCTCCGGTGCAGGGACCCGCGTAAAAAAGAGACCATCTCCCGACGAAATTTTAATTAAAGGTTACATTCTTTTTGGACGCTCCCCCCTCTTCGCCCCTCTTCGCCCCTCTCCCTCCTTGTTTGCGGTAATTGACACGGTTTCAATTTTGCACGGTGGGTCAATAATGACCGGTCAAATGCACTCCGAACATTTCTTAGACGTACCTTGATACAAAGGAAGTAGCTCGTGGGTCAGGAAAATGATGACTACAGGTAAAAAAAATTGATTAATTTTATGGATTTACAGAACCAGATAAAACACAACTCATTGTTTGTGCATGAAGGGAATGAGTAAGGATAAATTAATTAAGTATAAACGAATAATAATTTTTAGCTTAAACAAAGCTGATTACTAGAAAATTTATTCGCCTGGTTTCCATATGGGGACTCTCAGCTCTTAATTTTTTCTTCAATAAATGTTAAATTTAAGTTCAGTTTCTATTAAAGTAATAGAAATTCTTAGAGGTTTAATTCGTTCTGGATGTGTCAAAATTCAGCCCATATGACTAAAATAGTTCCAGAGCTTTACATATTTTCTTCCTCTTCATCATCAGCTCTTCTCCTCAGGTAGACACCATCATATTGCGATTGAAGGAAGTGTGATGATGCCTTTTATATGTAGCATTGTAAGATAATCGGATAGAGTAATTTCAAATATTGCAATTCCATGCGAAATTTTGAGAGATAAGTCCGCAGTATATAAATAGAAACTGTTTATATGAATACATCCAGGTTGTTAAAAGAGTCCGCACATACTGTGAAGTGCGAATCATTTTCTTGTAAACCATCGATGCGATAGCAGGAGTATGCATGTTGTGGTCAGTATTGTAATGGGCTATACGCTTGGAGAACCTCGCTTTTTTCTTCATTTATGAACAGCGTAGCTAGCCTACCTAAATATATTGTTTATCGTTTAAGGTGATTCGTCACTGTTTCTGGCGTGGTCGAACTGGCGTGCGATATCAAACATCAATTAAGTAAAAAATCTAGGCAAATTTTGAATGTTTAACCAAGGAAAGGACAAAAGTCCCTGCGCGTGAGCGCAAAAAACTGCGCATTCGATACAGCTATCGATTTGTGTATCGGATAAGAGGTTATTTTCGAAACAGATCCTGCTTTCATTTCCCTGCCAATTTTTTTCTTTAGAATGATCATTTTAAGCTCATGCGTAGGGGCAATCGCCCTGTTATTCGGCTAAAAATTCCAAATCTGCCGAGATTTTTCACTCAATCAATGCGATACATCGCACTCCAGTTCGACCACTTCAGAAACCGTGACAAATCACCTTAAACTCCAACAAGATCCCGGTTATTTGTGACAGGCGAAATGCCCGTGACTGGAGTCACGGGTCTAGAGGCCACTAAAATCTCTATAAGCCCGAAAAAATGGTGGTAGGGGAGCAAGATATGCCATTAAAAAAATGATAAAATCGATAGAAAAATGAGTTGAAGGGAGAGGGCGATGGAGCTAGAAAAATGAGCTGGGGGGGGAGGAGGAGGTAGAAGAAATGCTGGTAAAAAAATTAGAACTAACCTAGCAATGATTTATACATTAGCTGATAGCAAACAAAGGTTACCAAGAAAACCAAGGAATGGAACTTTCATAAAAACAGATTAGTGGAAAACAGCGTAAGTAGGGCACTTACGTTAATTACCGTTTATAAGTAAACGGTAAGTGTGATTTAACCAAAAATCTATACAGTTCTTTATAAGACCAAAATGGACAAAATTACAAAATTTGAATAGGCTAGCGTAAATCTAACGATAGTTATCGTGAACGAAAGAATTGACGACATAGTTCGGGTAACTATTATAGGTGGGATGGGATGTTTCGTCTTCCTCCAACATAACATCCAGATCTCCATAAAAAAGCAGAGGGTGAATCAGTTGTCGAAATTTGACAACGGCTGATGTCACTCGGTTCCTTTTCCCTGAGCGCTGCCCGTAAGGGCGTATCTGTATTTCCGCATGAGCCCCAGAGAGCATAGAGCTGAGCGGAGAACAGGGCTCACGTTGATATTGAGATACGTTCATAGGGGCGACGAAATGGCCTCGAGGCGGCAAGGAGTCGAAAACGAAACGGATCTGCGTAAATCTCGAAATTACAGTGTAAACGCTGCAATTATCTCGGCGGACGAGCGCACAGCGCAGGAAACGCCGGACACTTATCCCGAAAAAAAAAAAACTTCCCCGACAAAAGGCGATTGGATCCGAAAATCCCAGCAGGAACGAAGGTGCTGTGCACGGATGTAACCACGCGCCACTGTGATACCCTTGACCCTGCGAGAGCACAGGATAATGGCGACAGCGATTAACGTGTCATTTCGCGGGATGTCGCGCGGTGTTCTGTTATGTCACGCGATGAGATGCGCGTGTTGCTAAATTGATGGGGACGTTGAATTTTGCACACTCGGAGAAATTCTCCACAGCGTCTTGCTTGAGGAAGGAAATGAAGGTACCTTTGGAGAATAGACTGGTAGTGCGAAAAGTCCCTTGCCAGAGACTAGTCACAGAGAAAAAAAGGAGGTGTTTGCATCATGAGGATTGTTTATCTCGTGACGTAGGTCGGTGCAGCATGGCCAGCAGAATCCGAAATTCGAAGTATGAAAAACGGACCATAACGTCCGATTTTTCTGTTTAAATCAGTCATTATATAATTTCAAACATTTCATACAGAATGACTTTTTTCGATAATCTACACCATTTCCAAGAAAATCGATGAAAAAACCGTCTGTACAGACCGAAAAAAAATATCCATCAAAAATACACAAGAAGCCCGAAATACAAACACCTCTTTTTTTTCTCTAAGAGAAAAGACTGATAGTTCAAAAAATCCCTTGCCAGAGACAGGTTTTCGAGAGAGAGCAACCCCTATTCTTGCGACCAGTATCTTAAAAAGAGGTCTAGGTTCATGGAAACTGATGTTTCTGTAAAGTTTTTCTCACGTGTTGGATAAAAAAACTGAATTTAAGATTTCGACCGGAAACTCTCTCTAATGCCCTAAAGAATGAGTTGTGGGTTTTGCTCTATATTTGGCCAAAAAGGGTCATAAATTTTCGTTATAATGCGGCAATTTTGTGCCCTGCGCTGATAAAAATACCTGTGTTCTTATGTTACTTTTGGTCAATTTAAGTGAAATACAAACCAACCCTGAAGAAGATTGAATGTTCCTGTTGCTATTTGTTTTCTTCGAATCTTTACAGATAATTATTAATTTTTTAACATTTTGTGCTTGGCACTCGAAGGCTTGACAAACAGGGCCATGCCCTAGTCGTTAGTAGAAGAAGAAGAAGAAGACAAACCAACCCAAATTTTGTGGCGATTTTGGCACAGTTTGTGTTGACTTTAGCGCAGATTACAATGGAGAGGATGGAAACCCCACAGTCAACCGAAGGCTTGGGTTATTTTTAATGTTGAGTTTTCTCTCTGTCGGATAGTTTCAGATATAGCTTTTTCGTGAAGGAACGTTTTTTGAACTGCAAATTCGAATCCTCAAACTGTCAAAGGGAGCATTGTTGAAACCCGTCTGCGGGCTCCTTATTGCAATCGATAGATAAAGCGATAGACAAAGAAGGCCAAAGGGAAATGGAGCGATCCTGTTGACTGAAAAAGGAGTGTGTTATAGACTGAGGGGGAAGATAATGGACTAACTATCGAGTCTCTTGTATATCGTTAATTAATAGTCCATGGCAACCATCTGCTTCCACCAATAGGATCACTCCATTTTCTGTTTGTCTTCTTTGTCAATCGATTTGTCTATCAATTTTAATAATCAGCCTATATGCATTATTTCTCACGTTCCGGATGCGTATTAGGTCTGACAACACTGAGGTGAACATGTATCCTGAGTTCGCTATTCGGAAGTAATTTTCTGTCATCTTCCCTCGCTGTGACAACTAAACAGTGCGCTGAGCAAAATAAGAATTTCTTCGTTTCCCTATGAGACAGCAAAGGGACTAGAGCATATTATTACCGAGGCTCATATGAATATTTTTATGGTGTCTTTCGTCGCTTAATGGCGGCCATCCATCGCTCCTGGATTCCAGGATCCGGGAGCAATTAGACCGAGATCGTCCTCTTCCTACGACGTCGGCTCGAAGTTATTTGCGTCATTCCATTGTTAATT